GGAGAATAAGCAAAAGACAAGGAAAGAGCAAAACACACACAGATGTTCACCATCATTTACAGGAAAAGCAAGGGTAAAACCTGTCAAGGCCTGTTTTATAAAGTTTTATTGAAATACAGCCATGCTCATTCATTCCTATACTATCTATAGCTGACTTCCCATCACCAATGGCAAAATTGAGTAGTTGTAACAGACCATATGGCCTGCAAAACCTAAAATATTTATTGTACAGCCTTTACAGAAAAAGTTTGTTGACCCTGTATTAAAAATGTAAATCAGAATAACAATTACATCATTTATTCCTCTACTACGTGGGCAACAAAAATTTAAGAGTCATAATAGCGAGCGTGAGTGAGGGAAACTGGCACACTCACTGCTGTTAGTGGGTCACTGTAATCTTTGTGGATGGTGGGTAGGAGGTAACACAGCAATGCTTTAACACACACTCTAACTCTGCAGCTCCACTGCTCCAAGTACCCCAAACACATACACTCACGAGAGCGCAGTAATGTATAAATACTAAGCCAGTCAGTGCTACCTTGCTCTATCACACACAAATGGTACCCAAAGTATGTACCATTAGGAAACAGTCAATAGGTACATTCATAGTTTGGAATAAAGCTGTTCAACATGAATAGGAGATCTGCGTTTGCTGATACAGAGAGACCTCTAAACCCCATTAGTGAAAAACAAAGGATGCAGAACAACATGTGTGCAGTGTGATCGTTTGCATCGGTTTTCTCTGAACAAAAATCATACACATTTCTCCTTGAAAGATAGTACAAGGTACCTTAATGTTGATTTATTTAGGCATCGAAATATTGCTGCTAAATTAATCTCTGCCTGTTCCAAAGTGTTAGGTCCGACAGGCATAATACGACCAAAACCAAACAAGCACACAAAATGATAGCTAGGTTCTTTGATAGACGTCACAGCTGTTTGATCAATAAGAAACATAAAGACAATAAAAGTAGCTCTCTTAGTAACTCATGACAAACAACTGAAGATCAAACTCACCAATCTGACAGATGGTAAACTGCTGAACACTCTGACGTGTCTTTAGATACCACTCCGATGGCAAGTCAAAAAGACTGTGAAAAAACAGGCATCTCATTCCAGAGGCAGAGATGGCATCAAGGTGCCCGGCCTCCACACTGGATCAGCACCTCTCAACCATTCTTCCCTGTTAGAGCTGGCGAACACCACTAGCCTTTAGTGGACAAAGGCCAGGTCCCCAGCGCCCCACAATGTTGTCCTGCCTGCCCAGTGCCTTTAGGTGCCTGCTGAGAAACAATGCTGGTATGGCCAGGATGCCACCCAGGGGGGCACAGGTGAGCGCCTAGCTCAGCTCTAAGGCAGTTTTAGCTTTACCTGATCTGCTGGGACCGCGACAGGTTAGTGCGAAGGCCCGTGAACTCTATGTCCAGACCTGCCGGGAAAGCAAAACAGAGGAGAGTCCCCAGGCGCGACCACTGCCACTGCTCTCTATGCTGTAAATGCTGCAGGTGGCAAGCTCGGCTCACACTGCTCCAGAGGTCAGGTGAGTTCAAGAAGGGAAAACGGAGGGAGCCAAGGCAGGGACAAGCCAGGCCACCCAGGTCCGTGGGATAGGTTCCTCCTGGGCCACTGAGGGGCCAAGGGGGCAACTGCCGCTCAATATCCCTCTGCCCAGGCCGAGCAGGAATCTGTCCTTCGGAGGGGCCCTCGCTGAGCCTCCCACGGCCTAGCGACCGTCCCAGCGGGCCTCCCCTCTCCGCCCTGTCCCACCCACGCCACACCCCCGCGGGCTCTCCCAGCCCAAACGGGAACCCCGAGCCTTACCCACGAAGTCCGCGCCCAGAACAAGCTCCTGCAGCAGAGGCAGGCTCTGCTCGAACTCGTTGGCGCCCACGTCCATGGCTGCGCGGCCGCGGCCCCGGTGCGGCCACGCGCTCCACGCGCTCCCACGCGCCCCCTCCGTGCCGCCGGCCTTAAAGGGCTCGCGCAGGTAAACGGGCCGCCCCGCGCCCACACCAGCCCCAGGAGCCCTAGGATCAGGGTCCCGGCCGCGCGCCTCCCCCCGGGCTCAGAGGCGTTTGCTTTTAAACCTTGTTGGCCAAGGCAGGGTCGCTTAGACCCGCCTTTCCTTTCCCATGGAAGCCCGTTTGTTTACCTTGCTCCACAGCCCTTTCTTTAGTCGAGACAAACTTCTTCCCGTCCTTTACGTAGACCTGGAAAGCAGGGTTCGGGGGGCGGGGGGGAATTGGGGTCCGAGCACGAGCAAAACCAGGCCTGAGCGGCTCCTCAGCAGACGCGGGGATGGGGGGCCCACACCTCGCCTGCTTCCTGAGAGGCTTCTCCCCAGCTCTGCCATCCTTGCCAGTACTGGCCTGTCCCCCTCCCTTTCCCCACACCCCATTTTTTCCTCACTTTACTTTGTCTGCACCACCACTTACTGATTGATTTTAGAGAAAGAAACATCGATCTGTGGTTCCACTTATTTACGCATCACTGGTTGCCTCCTGCGTGTGCTCTGACGGATCCAACCCAAAACCTTGGCATAGGGGACGATGCTCTCACCAACGGAGCTGCCCAGCCAGGGCTGCACCCTCACTGTCTTTAATACCTTTATCACACGCCATACAAAGCCTCAAGAATTGCCAAACTGAAGGAATCCTTGGTGCAGAGATACCTAGGACAATCATTTTCCTTGCAGAAAAAAAAAAATCCCTGCCTACGGAAAGGATGCAGGTGAACCATTTCGTCATCATTTCCAAAGCCACTACTCCCCTCCATGGCCTTTTTTACCTTCCTTGAATTCTGGACTTGTTTGAACAGCCTTCTAGAACCATGGCCTTCAAAATGAGATGCTCCAATCACTCTTTAAGGTGAGGGAAGAAAATAGAATATGTATTTGTAAATGCTCCACTGGGGAGACCCTGGCAGGGTGACTCGGTTGGTTGGAGCCTCATGCGGATGCGCCAAGGTTTCTGGTTCAATCCCTGGTCGGGGCACATGCAGGGAACCACCAATGAATACATAGGTGGGTGGAACAGCAGATCAGTGTCTCTCTCTAAATATCAATCAATTAATAAATTTTTTTAAACGCACTGGGGTATTTATTGATCAAAAGGGGATTAAGCCATTGCACTCCGAAAGCCTCTCCGAATCAGTTATACTTTTTAAAAATGTTGGTGAATACGTTATCTCTAAAAAACACACTGAATACCCAGATTGACAGTAGTAATGTTCTTTCACTTCTATAGGATGTAATTGGCTATACGTCTAATAATCAAAGGGAAAATGCTCTAGAGGCCACCCTAGCTGTTCACAGGTTCTCCCTCTTCTCATCTTCAACAGCCATAAATGGTTCACACCTTACTTTGATTTAATCAACTCCTTTGTGAGAACTGTCATGATTCCCATCTACCCCAGCTTCAACTTTAGGTTAACTTGAATGCACTTGCAGCTTCATCTCCCATCTCACAAATTTTTTCTTCATGGCAAATTCAGAGTATGCTAACCCTGCCCATTTCCACCTCCATTTTCAGTTCCTCACTGAATTCCTTCACTCTTTCAAATCTGCTTCTCCCTGTTAGGACCCAGGAGCCCAACTGGGGTTAGAATTTGTCCCTTTTATCTCCACATTACTAAGACTGCTTATAATAAATTGATACTGATATTTCATATTTAAAAAAACACCTCCACACCCTGAATAGCAAGAGCTATCATTTGGATCACCCACTGTGAGTTAGACATAGTAACAAGTGCTTTGCATAAACCTCTTACGTGTACTCTTGCCAGACTGAGCTGAAAAAGTGAACAAATTTAGCATAACCAGAAAATAAAAGTTCATACTATGCCTTTATTCTTTAACTTATAAACATTTAATTTGTCCTTCAAAAGTTAATTACAAGTGGTGACAGCTTTTCTCAGACATTTCTCTCATGTCCAAGAGAAGGGAAGACTTTAGCCCCACACACACAAGGGGAGAAGGGGATGATCATAACTGCTACCAACACTCCGCAGTTACGTTACAGCATAAAACTTCCAAGCTGGCTGTTCTTCCAGATGCTCCCTTCTGACGGATGTAATAGTTGACAGCCTGATATTTACACGTCCCAAACAATGCCTCTATTTCATTCATAAATTCTCCGAGGCTCCTGTAGCACCACACCCCCTTCTGTCAGAGCACTCTGTAGTCGTTTCATCTGGTTTTAAAGACCAGAAAAAAAGGGAAAGATTAAATCATCACCACAAGTAAGCTGACAATAAACAGCCCACTTCCCAGGAGAAACAGAACTGAACTACTGATTTGCTCTTCGCTAACTTCCCACCCACCCTGGTTTTTCAGAAGGTGATCTTAATGACATAGATACGAAAAAAGAATGTAGAAACATCAAGGATATCAAGCTGTTTTAAATATTATATATATGGTGTGTTAATATGTGAACAGGTAAGCAAAGTGTTCGGCATGGTGGCTATGGAATCCGTCACTGTGGGTTTGAACTCTCCCCCCCCCCC